GCTGATACGCATCAAATGGTGCTACAAACTGGTGCGTTGGTACTATCTGACAATGGTGTCTGCTGCATTGATGAGTTCGACAAGATGAATGAATCAACGAGAAGTGTTTTGCATGAAGTTGGTCATCTTATATGCTGTTGCGCTTTTGATCTTGCACCCGAGTCCTTTAGGTTATGGAGCAGCAAACTCTCTCCATCGCTAAGGCAGGCATTATCTGTCAGCTGAATGCGCGAGCATCTATTTTGGCTGCAGCAAATCCCGTAGATTCAAAGTGGAACAAAGATAAGACTATTGTGGACAATATACAGCTGCCTCATACGCTTTTGTCTAGGTAGTTCATTTGAAGTGAGTTGTGGCGTTTTTAAAGTGAACCTTGATTTTAGATTTGACTTGATTTTCCTAATGGTTGATCCTCATGATGAGGCTTACGACAGGCGTCTTGCGAACCATTTAGTATCGCTTTACTACAAGGATAAGACTGAGTCTCAAGCTGAACAGCTTGACAAGGCTCTGCTGAGAGATTATATCGGTAAGTCAGTGCTTACTATCCAATCTGATTGATATTCAACATAAATTTATATTTTTAGCGTATGCAAAGGCTAATGTCCATCCAAAACTCACCGATGAATCGTCGCAATTTATAATTGACAAATATCTTTTCATGAGAAAGGTAGGTCCATTATTTCATCAATCTCGCAGCTTTTCTATTCGTTTGAAGCAAATCTTTAGGCTGGAGCTCAGCATGGCCAAATCTCCGCTTATCCTCGACAACTGGAATCGCTCATCCGACTATCAGAAGCCCATGCCAAGATTCGCCTTTCGGAGAATGTAACCATTAATGATGTGGAGTTCGCCTACAAGTTAGTAACCAAGAGATTCAATTCTTACTTTCGAAAACCATACTTTGAATTCAGTCTATACCGTGAAGCCCTGAAACAGTCAGCAGTTGACCCGGTGACTGGTAAAGTAGATGTAAATATTCTTGCTGCCGGAATGAGCTCCACAAGCAGAAAGATGGTGCAGCAGGTAAGTTACTTCCATGCAGAAAGAGGATTTTTGTGAGAATGTTCGTTTTCTAGGTTGCTGATGCTATCGCTAGCCATCTAGACAGTACTAAAGGTGTTAATGTCTCAGCTAAGAATCTTTTCATGACGTTGAGACAGGCAGATAAGGTATGTAGCAGCCAACTCACCTTACTATTGCTTCAATTACTTCGTTCTTGTTCAGATGTTGAACCGTGACATTTTCGACGAAGCACTGAACGAACTTGCCAAGAAGGAAGTCATTGTTAGAACTGGAGAAAGAATTCGTTACTTGACAGTCAAGAATTAGTTTTCTTTACCTAACTAGATATCCGATCTCTCAACATAACACTGAAGTTACTCTCAATCTCGGTAATGCCTCATCTTCGTATCTTCGTACTCTGTATAAAAAATTCTTGCTATGCATTAGTAATGTTTGCATAAAGTTTGACTATTTCTCACAAGTGCTGAAGCGCAGGGTTTACATTCCAAAATGTCTTTCAATTCATATTAGCCTAAAAATGTGAGATTACGATCAATTTTTGAAAAAGTTGTGTGGAAATTACGAACAGTTGCAAGAGTAGCGATGACTAGTCGTGTTTTTGTTATTCTTATGTAGTCTGTACTCTAAAGTAATGTAAACATTACATTTTTTT